CAAAAGCCTTTCTAAAGTCATTGAATATTCATGGTCATATAGTTTTTATAGGTGTATTATTGCCCTCGGGCTATGATTTAAATTCCTGTACTGACTATAATATTCGGGGCGTGACGGAGTACTATAGAGGGAGAGGTGTATAATAATAGTAATGTCTTGTATTGACCTATACCATTCATTTCAAGTTACTGAAAGTCCCAAATAGAAACCCTTGGTGCAAAGTGCAAGGGGCAAACAGCACACCGCTGCATCCCCTACTCTCCCCCTCCCCCGAGTCATCATTTTAAGGCGGACCTTTAGGGACACACATGGATTTAAACGCTAAAATTTCAAAGTGGAGTTGTGAACACTATTACTGATTATGTAAACTAAAAAAAAAATTCAAGGTATGATTGGTCAAACGGATGGCGAACCCGTAACTTTCTTGGGTCATACGCATGTCTACAACCTACGAATTAGTGCTGTATTTGAGCACAGAAAACTGCCATTGCCTACAAGGTTCAACTGTTTCTACAGAAACAAATAAAATATATAATTCATCTAGATATAAGATTTATATCATCTAGATAAGTATTGAAAAATATTGTAAGTTGTCACGCGAATCCCTTTTTACGTTTGTATACTTTATCTAATTCCATTCAATCATATTCAAATTTCTCAAATTAAAAAACGTTATTTTCAACAGCCACTTCAACATAAAACCACACAAAGAATTTGTATTTACTAACATGTACAAGACATCAACCCTATTTAAAAGGGGCATGATAATATATTGACCAACTTAGAGAAAGTGTATAGGGGGCTTGTTCATATATTGACTTATAGAGCCAATGTAAAGTGGGCTTGAATAACCAACTTGTTTTTAACAATATAAAAATACAAAGTGAACAATAGATCTGAGACCTACAGCATAATAATAACATATTGACCAGTGTTCTAACCCCTGTCCACTGACAAATCAGTTCTCTCAATACACGAGATAAGTCAAAGCGGAAAGTTGACAAGAAACCTACCCCCAGTCCACTGTCAAATCAGTTTTCCCGGCTCACGGGACTTATGAGATGAGTTAGTATTTTGGTTGCGTATTTAGGTGGTAATGTTTGGGCCACTGCAAGTCATTACTTCTATTCGTTCGCCCAATCAGGAAACCGGCTTCCCCGATCAAATGGATTGCCCTCTGAAAAAATTCTGACAACCAACCAAACTACTGCAGCAAAGCACCATACACCATTGCCTGCCCGAACAATCAAGTCTGGCTACGGGTCTGGCAGAGAAGTACGACGTCAAACTCAATATTTATATCATTTTGGCATAAAATTTGATGTCCGCCCGACTTATTTATTGAATCAGTAAAAACAAAAAATTTCCAAATTGACGAAGGTAGTCGGCCTAGTTTTACAATATTCTGATTGATAGGTCCTTGGCCATGGGTGTTTGTAGTCGACCCCCCCCCCCCCCCCCCCTCTGGATATGGTGAGATATTAATATCAAAGAAGCTAATTTAATCTTACAACAAGACATGTTAATTAGCTGATATAGATATTTCAATTATTATATAATTACGTCATAAACCCCTAAAGGGAAATCCCTTGGAATCCCCTTAACAACGTAAACCCCCATCATAGCAACGATAACATCAATGCCTAGAGGGGTCGGGTTTTGCCAAAAAGGTATCGTTTTCTTAACAGTTAATAAAACATTTATCAGATCTTCAAAAAAATAATAAATTCGTTTTTTTAGTAGACTTGATCACCAAGTCTGTAATAAATGTGCTACTCGTAATAAGTTCTGGATAATCGGAGAAAGGAGCTGTCCACGACTCACTGCCATTGGGGGCTCGGCCTGAATCAAAAGATACTAATATTAGTTTTAGTTGTTTGATGATTATCAGATTTTCAATTGTTTTTTTTAATAAAACAATAAAACTTTTTAAATTTCGTAGACGGCATTTTCAAGACGGTAACAATGGATGTAGGCTATAAGATGATAAAACTTCTTAATAATCAGAGAAAAGACAAACAATATAATCAGACTGTCCAGGTTTTAACGGAATTTAGACACGTCTTTTTCGGTTATATTTACTCTAAGTTGTAAATCGTACCGTCGTGCCATCTGAATTCAAATGGTGGAAAACTGAGTTTTCCAAAGAGAAGAAAATTTCTGAATAATTTAACATGTTTAATTGTAATCTGTGATAGATCCAGCTATAGGCAGATAGATGGCTATAGATATATTTAGATGAGTTGGTCATTTCTCTCATAAATATTCATGATGTTGAAATATGAACCATAAATTGTCCAAGTCGGATTGATTGACAGGTAGAGAATCCTGGTGACAATAAACCGAGCTATAAACATCGCTTGTCTTTAACTTCAAACGTTTCACTGACTGACCGACACGTCGGTTATTGGTTCATCACACTGGAATGTCAATGAGAAAACCTTCCTCTAAATTGGTGGCATCTTCACAATGTCAAGCTATTACCAACTTTGTCTTATACCTTGACTGTGATATTCACTAATCTTGTATCACGGAATGCAGCGTTTTGATTTGATTGTAGCTAGAGAATACAGCCAATCAGAGGCCTAGACGTAAAGTCTGTACGTATTTTGACTTATTGTTTACAGACTTTCTGTTGAGGCCTATGATTGGTTGCATTCTTTTGCGTACAATCCAACCAGATAACTGTATTTACAAACTTCCGGGATACAATTAAAGGTAGTTATTGCAGTCAAGGTATTGGACGAAGTTTGTAATAGCTTGACATTGTGAAGATAAGGTGAAGGTAGGTGACAAATTAACTCCCGCTTTCAGCAATAGCTGCTGATATCATAAGGTGTATTGTATGCTTGAATAAGGTGGCTTATTGAATATATAACTTACGACAGTGAAATCAATGAACAGGACGAGAAAATAATGATTTAAACATGATTTAAAACTAATTTCAGTTTCTATGAAAGGTTTCAATAATACATGTTAACATAGTTATTAAGTTTATGCTGTGTCATAATCATAAACATGCATAAAAAATCAAAATATTTTCTAAAAGCCGAAATTGCTCACAAACTAATCAAGGTATCCGATCCTCTTTTTTTTTATCTTCATTGCAGGTCGAGTATATTACATAGAAGATTATATTGTTACCCTTATGAAAACCCTCACTATTACTACTATATGTGACGAACCAACTGACAATCCCCACCCCATCCCAGCCTCCCCCATGTTTCTTTGGAAATATTTTGTCGTCGTCATTTTTCTCTTCTAATTAATTCAGGAGAAGCATCCCTTTAGATATGTAATTGATATTATAAGGTGTTGTGCATGGCTAACTCTTTTAAATCAACAACTTATTTATGTCACGATAACAGGGTACTACTTTCGTCAATTTTACATAAATAGGTGAAATATCACGTTTTTAAGTGAGTCAGAGAATTTCACAATATATATTATAAAGTTTAGGTTTATTAAAACGTAGAAAGAGACTGATTGGCAGTAGTGTTGATCGTTTTTATATAATTGGTGTACTTTATTTTTCTTAACCTTGTACTTGCATTGAACTTGTTCTATCAAAAATCTTTACTTTACTTTGTGACCTAGGCTTTTGTGAGACTATGGTTTCAATACTATCTATTTTTACAGTAGGCTAATCATCTCAAACCGCCTGTTTTTGTTTCGTACTTCATGATCTAGGCCAGTACCTTTGTGAGAATACTGTTCTCATTTCACACACTTCAAAATCGATTTGAGTGTTTGACCAATCAGATGACTGAAACACTAAAATCATTTTAAGTTAAATTTCCAAGAATAAGACTCTAGATTATATAATATCACAGTTGTTATAAATTATCACGAGAACCCTATTGTAGACAACACTCACCCATAACCAGTGTTCATCCTATTGGATAGTTTTTGGGTTTGAGTTAACAAGCTTCGCTACAGCCATATTCTGTCAACAGATATTCTAGAACAATCAATGTCAACTGGGCATTCATTTCAGCGAATCTATTAAGCTGATAATGTATGGTTTTACTATCAAGGGTTGCAAAATCCATATTTACATAAAACAATATTCAGTTCTCATTAACCCCCCCCCCCTCCCCCCCACCAAAAGAATATTAGGGCCTACAATTTTGATTCACAAAATGTCACAAGTGTTATGTAATGTAATTGTATTTTAGGTAGATAGTTGATAATTAATACAAGGGAGGTAACCATCTTCTGCGATGTTTCTCAATTTGTTGGTTGAGTATGAATTGGATGTTCCACCGAATTTTATCTTTTGAAAACAAAAACTCTTACGCGAAAGATTTCAGTTCCACATTGTTTATACTTTCTCTTTCTTGCTGTTTTGAAGCATTAAAAAAGAGATGTTATATAAGGTCTCATCCTGCCAACATATATTTCAGATACATAATCCTCAAATGGACAGCACGTTTTTGAATTTGTAGTTAAAATTCCAATATCGGACATGTGGCGTAATAAACGAAGAAAGCGGACTCATTGACGCCAGCACGATAGTCTCCACCCCGACAGTTGTCCTGTCCCCAATGGAGTCAGTCTGACCTTGGAGTCATTACTCCAAAGTCTGACCCACCCAAATTTATCCCTTCAGTTACAGGAGACTGTAACTGCCACTCTCAATGAACAAAATACATACTCAGAAGAACAAATCTAACTCCGAAGTGATTTAAGAAGCTTTTACCTTAAGACAGTCATGAGATAAGCTAGAATCTGTCAGAGGTTAGGATGGTTTCAGATAAGTCAAGGGAATAATTAAGAAAAAAAGAAAGAAATAAACAACTAGGCCTATATTTTACAAGGGTAACGACGGATGATTATAAAGGATCATTTCTACCACCTGGTCCAAACGTCTAGGCATCTTTACCTGATTATCCGTATCCATTTACAGCTGAGATTGACTTTCAAAGTCCAAATAATCAGTTATAATTAACTGGAGTAAGATATGTCAAAGAATAATTACAATATGAACATGGACTTACCGTAGAACGCCAATATCCATTCATTCTTACACTGGAGATCATTAATAAATACATTAATATCATTGTTCTAATCATCTCACTCATTTTATCAATTGTCTTTCTTCCTTTCTTTATATATATCAGTATATTAATACAAACAATTTCAACTTCTGGTTTGAATTAACTCAAAATCACTGGTATAAATATTGATTAATCTCATCAAATCATTTTCAGTCTACAGTTTTTCAAAGTATTAGTGAACATTCACTCAATTTTTATTCCAAGCCACAAGCAAACTTTTGTCTTATTTTTAAAATATTCTTGCCTTTGGTGAACAGTTTTACCCGAGATCAATTATTCTTAACAAGGGATTTCGATTTTAAATAATTTGGGAAACTATATGTCCAATCTTCATCACCATGGAATTCTCCAGCTTTAGGCCTAGATATATTTTTTAGTTAAAAAATCTCAACTAATTTATAATATAATTATTAGCTCAGTGTTTAATATGATGTATTATATTGTTATTATATCGATCTGGTATCGATTACATCTATTTACCAATCACTTTAACAATCAGTTTATCTAATACCAATTACTAACTCTATAGTGTAGGTCTAAAACCAACATAACAGGAATTAAACCACGCTACATGCAATGGTAGCTAATTGGTTACAATAAATAATTTCCAATTTGGAACAGTATCGCAGTCCAGGGGAAAATGAAACAATTTAATTTAGATAATTATCCAATTTCCACTCGTAGTAAATTTCAATAAAAACTGCACTATGTCTTACATATTAATGTTACCACATTTTAAAAAACGGAGAACGAATGAAAATAGGTTGAAGAAGAGTATATATTTAGAAAACGACGTCCGAAAATTGTTTTAAAAAAGCAGTAAAAAAGTGATAAAAACTTCACTCCAAATAATGCATTGTCAGCAGCGGGCCGACATCCGTCAAACAATCATCCTCACTGAACGTAACACAAGACGCATACTGTTTCCAAACACATAAAAACATCCAAGCTGATCCAAGATGATATTCGAATGAAATAGTTATCTATTTCCACTTGAATTCTTTTTCACCTTTCACTTGTCAATATTTTTGTTTTATGTGACAATCGTCAGGTTGGTGAGCTAGAAACATCCGTGTTGTAACCTATATAGTAGGGTGTCTAGTTCATAAAACAGGGCATCCCAAGTGAGTGCCCTCTCAGAACGGTGATACTATTCAGTGATGGATTTGTCAACTAGAAGCTTTCCGATGTCAAGGTAGCGATTGCAAAAGCGGACCATCAATAAGTGCTGTTTCTTTGGCTGTGCCATTAGTGCCAAAGGGGTGAGGGTGCGGTCGGTGGTGGGGTTGCCCCAAAGAAAAATAATCTGGACCGGCTTTCACACACCCCTCACTTTCAACTATCTCTATTTTGTACATAAGTAATCCGAAATATTCCCATTGCCTTGAGTCCACTTCTACAATTCTTGTTTTTTTTTTCGGTTTCTTTCGTATATGATCTAAGTTTGTTTACACTACCAGCTCTTTTTACTGAAGATTACCCACGAGCTCTACCCTGTGTCATAAGTTAAAATAATTTATATATTCTATGACCTTTTAGACAATCCATCAAAATTAAAACCTTGCGTCAAAATAAAGTCTTTATTGTTACCGACAGATATACTGGATATAGCCCGGGAAAGATGTTCACCTAGCCCCTGTATATACTGAATTATAACCTGGGAAAGACGTTCACATGGCCTCTGATGGTTACAGCTTGTCAGGCAAAAATTGTATGAATAATATACTGTGGCCTTTCTTTAAATCATTTCATCAAGGGGTCCAATTAGGGAGACACGGATTTGTCAAGGGTCTCACAAGCAATGCTTTCCCGGTGTACAATGATATAGAAATATGGAAATGTGTGAGGTGTGTAGTATAAGTAAGTATGGTTTGACGCCTTTTTGGAAGTTATCGCCTGTTTAACTGTCCAATATATTAATCGACATGTTTCGGACTAAGTTTTGAGAAATGATCATCAGTCAAACAGCTATAGGGCCTATAGATTGACTTAAACAGAACATGAAAGTTATTAGTTGTTATTTTGTTATTTTGATTTTTTGAATAACATTATCGCTTGTCAACCATAGAGGAAATATAATAGAAGTTTAATATCTACTATTCTATATCTTATTGCACTAATGAAATGATATTGGGTCTTATATCTTATTATACTAAAACTTATTGGACTAATTATCCAACTGGTCAGTACCTTAATGAACTAATGAAATGAAATAAAGTTTTATATCCTACTGTTCTGTGTCTTATTGGACTAATGAAATTAAATAGAGTTTTATATCCTACTGTTCTGTATCTTATTGAACTAATGAAATGAAATAGAGTTTTATATCCTACTGTTCTGTATCTTATTGGACTAATAAAATGAAATAGAGTTTTATATCCTACTGTTCTGTATCTTATTGAGCTAATGAAATTAAATAGAGTTTTATATCCTACTGTTCTGTATCTTATTAGACTAATGAAATGAAATAGAGTTGTATATCCTACTGTTCTGTATCTTATTGTACTAATGAAATGAAATAGAGTTTTATATCCTACTGTTCTGTATCTTATTGTACTAATGAAATGAAATAGAGTTTTATATTCTACTGTTCTGTATCTTATTGAACTAATGAAATGAAATAGAATTTTATATCCTACTGTTCTGTATCTAAATGGACTAATGAAATGAAATGAAATGAAGTT